AGTCACATGGGGAACCTGAGACCAAGGTGGATAATGATGAGCTGAAAGCTGTAGTGGAAGTGAATCCATCTCAGCCTACACGTGAATTAACAGCAAGATTTGACATTACTATTCCAACAATATTGGGCCATTTGAAACAAATGGGCAAAATGAAGAAGCTGGATAGATGGGTTCCACATGAATTAAATGAGAGAAGAGAAATCATCTCGAAATTTGCCTTTCTTTGCTGTCGTGACATAAAGGCAAACAATTTCTACACCATATTGTTACGTGTGATGAAAAATGGATTCTTTTGACAATTGCAAGCATTTGGCACAACAGTTGGATAAAGATGAAGTGCCCAAACACAGTCCAAAACCGAATATTCATCAAAAAAAGCTAATGGTGTCTGTTTGGTGGTCCAGCACTTGTATCATCTACTACGCCTTCATGAAACCTGGGCAGTTGATTGTAGCAGCTGTCAGTTACACCCAATTGGATGAAATGATGAGGATGCTTGCGACGAAGCAGCCAAGATTGATCGACAGAGACAGGCCAATCCTCTTCCAAGACAAGGTTTAACCACATGTCGCACAAACAACACTGCTCAAGCTACAGAAGCTGGACTTGGAAACTCTCTGTCATCCACCATGTTCACCAGACCTTGCAACAACTGACTACCACTTCTTCCAGGCTTTGGACCACTTTTTGCAAGGAAAAATATTCAATTCTCAACAAGCTATGGAAAACGCATTTCGTGATTTCATTGCCACTGATTTTCCAGGCTTCTTTGCTGCTGGCATAAACAAGCTCTACTGTTAAGATGGCAAAAGTGTGTCTGTAGTTAGACACAATCTTTGATTCATTGTATTGCTTGTCTGAGATATAATAAATTACACTTTTGATTCGAAATCGGACATTTCATATTTAATGACCTTAATGGAATACAGGCATACCTTGAAGATATTGCTGGTTTGGTTCCAGACCACCACAATAAAGTGAATAAATGAGTCACATAAATTTTTTGGTTTCCCAGTACACATAAAAGTTATGTTTACACTATATTTTGGTTTATAAGTGTGCAATAGCATTACAAAATAAAAAACAACATATAAATCCTAATTAAAAAATAGTTTATTGCTAAAAAATGCTGATGATCATCTGAACCTTCAGTGAGTCAGTCCATTTGCTGGTGAAGGCTTTTGCCTTGATGTTGATGGCTGCTGACTGATCTGGGTGGTGGTTGCTGAAGGTAAGCGTGACTATGGCAATCTCTTAAAAAATAAGACAGCAATGAAGTTTGCCACATCAACTGACTCTTCCTTTCACAAAAGATTTCTCTATAGCATGTGATGCTGTTTGATAGACTTTTACCCACAGTAGAATATATTTCAAACTTGGAGTCAATCCTCTCAAATCCTGCTGCTACTTAATGAACTGAGTTTATGTAATATTGTAAATCATTGTTGCAGTGATCAATCTGAAAAAGAAATCAAGAAAGCAATCCCATTTACAGTAGCTACAAAAATACTGATAGGAATAAATTTAGGCTGGGCACAGTGGCTCACACCTGTAATCCAAGCACTCTGAGGCTTGGAGGCTGAGGTGGGAGGATCACTTGAATTCAAGAGTTGGAGACCAGCCTGAGCAAGAGTGAGACCCCATCTCTACCAAAAATAGAAAAATTAGTCATGGATGGTGGCACACACCTGTGATCCCAGCTACTCAGGAGGCTGAAGCAGGAGGATCACTTGAGCCCAGCAGTTTGAGGCTACAGTGAACTCTGATGATGCCATTGCACTCTAGCCAGGGCAACAGAGCAAGACTGTCTGAAAAAAAATTTTTTTTAACTGAAGAAGTGAAAGATCTCTACAAGGAAAACTTTAAAACGCTGATGAAAGAAATTGAAGTGGACACCAGGAAAATGGAAATATATCCCATGATCATGGATTGGAAGAATTAATATTGTTAAAATGTCTATACTACCCAAATTATACTACAAAGCAATAGTAACCAAAGTAGCATGATGCTGGCATAAAAACAGATCCACAGAACCCAGATATAAACCCACGCACTTACAGCCAACTTATTTTCTACAAAGACACCAGGAAAATACACTGGGAAAAGACTGTCTCTGTGATAAATGGTGCCTGCAAAATGATATCCATATGCAGAAGAATAAAATTAGATCTTTATCTTTCACCATATACAAAAATCAACGCAAAATGGATTAAAGACTTAAATGCAAGACCTGAAACTATGAAACTACTAAAAGAAAACATTGAAGAAAAGCTATAGGACATTGGTGTGGGCAAAGATCTTTTGGATAAGCCCTCAGAAGCATAGGCAGCAAAAATAGACAAATGGGGCTGGGCGCAGTGGCTCACGCCTGTAATCCTAGCTCTCTGGGAGGCCGAGGCGGGTGGATTGTTTGAGCTCAGGAGTTCGAAACCAGCCTGAGCAAGAGTGGAAAGAAATTAATCGGACAACTAAAAATATATAGAAAAAACTAGCCGGGCATGGTGGCACGTTCTGTAGTCCCAGCTACTCGGGAGGCTGAGGCAGAAGGATTGCTTGAGCCCAGGAGTTTGAGGTTGCTGTGAGCTAGGCTGATGCCACGGCACTCTAGCCCGGGCAACAGAGTGAGACTCTGTCTCAAAACAAAAATAAATAATAAAAAATAAAAATAGACAAATGGGATCACATTAAGCTAAAAAGCTTCTGCACAGCAAAGGAAACAATTAACAAAGTGAAGGGTAGGAGAAAATATTTGCAAATTACTATGTGACAAGGGATTAATGACCAGAATACACAAGGAACTCAAAACTCAATGGCAATAAAAATAATCCAACTAAGAAATGATCTAAAGACCTGAATAGACATTTTCAAAAGAAGACATACAAATGGCCAACAGGTATATGAAACAATGCTCAAATCACTAATCAGGGGAATGCAAATCAAAACCGCAATGAGATCTCACCCCAGAAAGAATGGCTATTATCAAAAAGACAATAAATGCTGGTGAGGATGCAGAGAAAAGGGAGAACACTGGTACACTGTTGGTGAAAATGTAAGATAGTACAGCCATTATGAAAATCAGTATGGAGTTTCCTCAAAAAGCTAAAATATATTCAAAAGAAATGAAATCAATATATGGAAGAAATATCTGCACTTTGTTTATTGCAGCAATATTCACAATAGTAAAGATATGAAATCAACCTAAGTGTCCATCAGTGAATGAATGGATAAACAAAATGTGGTATATACACACAATGGAATATTATTCAGCCATAAAAAAGAATGAAATTCTGTCATTTGTAACAACGTAGATGGAACTGGAGGTCATTACGTTAAGTGAAATAAGCCAGACATTGACACGCAGATATTGCATGTTCTCAATCATACGTGGGAGCTAAAAGGTGGATATCATATCGGTAGTGGGTAGAATGGTGATTACCAGAGGCTGGGAAGAGAAGGGGGGAGGGGATTATGAAGAGAAGTTAGTTAATGGGTACAAAATACGGTTAAATTGAAGGAATACGTTGTAGTATTTGATAGTACAGTAAAAAAATTATTGTTAATAATTTATTATATTCAAAATTACTAGAGAAGAAGTGATCCTCTTTCCTCAGCCTCCCAAAGTGCTGGGACTAAAGGCATGAGCCACCATGCCCAGCCAGGAACAAATTCTTTTTATCCAAGGTCTCACGTCCAATTTTCTATATATTTATGTCTATCAGTTTTGAACCCAAGTTTACAAATACATTAATATAGGATGTATATCAGAATGCCAATTTATTAAAATAATATTTATACAACTATTAGATGTTTCAGTTAGCCTAACTAGTACATTCTCCTTTCTCTCTGTAGTTCTGCTTAAAGGAAATTCAAATTCCCAGTAGGTTACTTTGTGAGTATGAGAACAAATATGTAGTTGATCTTACGAAGTTTCTCAGCTGGCCTAGCTTGAGACACTCTCAAGGGTTATCTTTGTCAAAAAGTTGGCCTCTTAAACCTTTTATTTTAAATACTTCCTTGACTGACAAACCCCTTCCTTCCTTCCTCCAAAAGGGGTGCAATATAGGTCTTTGTTTTTCCACTTGCAATCCTAGTGCAATTCTTCCTGTCTAAGATTCTATACACTGGTTGAGTTTTGAGAATGTCCAAATTCCTCATCCAACCGCTTAGGGCCTTTTGATTGCCCCGTTGTCCTCCCCTCACCTGAATTGCATTCATTTTCTGTGGCTTTTTACTAGTTTAACTCTCAGAGGGCAATCTTATTCCCAAGTTTCTGTGGAACGAACATGTATTGCCAGTAGCTATGCAGATGTCAAGTTGAATGCGGATTACACATAAAGCCACAGGATTCGGCATTTAAGAAAGTCATTGGGGGAGCTTGATTCCAGCTCGGTATAGTTGTGGGAGAGGACCCCTGGGAGTAGACAAATGAATGGAAGTCGAATTCCTTCGTTAGATATTTATTGAATATTTAGGAAATGCTGGACTCTCGGAGTGAAATATAAATAAATACATACAGGTCCCTGCCCTGGTGTGGCTCATCTGAGGAGAAAAGGTGACATTAATAAAGTAATCACAACAATCACTGTCTAATCATACAGTGCGTGTTGCTGAGGAATGCACAGAGCTGTGATAGCCTTTAAGAAGTGGATCTGACCTCGTGGAGAGGCTCAGGAAGGAAAGGTTCTCCTGAGGCAGTGAGGTGTAGAGTTGGGGTTGTGAGAGAAGAATGGGGTTAAGTAGGTGAAGTACAGCGGGCAGAGACTTATGGAGACGAGCAGCACGAAGCTTTGCAGAGCCCCAAAGAACGTCTGCATGGTTGTAGAAGGGAGAGCTAGGAGGAGAATGAGACTAGGCAGGGGCGGGGAAGAGGAAATAGTAAAACCCCTGGAACAGAAGGGACCAGAATTGACAGGAAAGGGCGGGGAGAGGCGGCTCGACTTAGAAACTACAATTCCCAGGAAGCATTCGGCAGCCCCAGGCGGATGTGAGGTGAGGCGCGAGCCGCGACGCTTGAAGGAAACAGGAAGTGCTTGGACGACGCAGAGCCGGAGAAGCGGGGTCAAGTAGGTAGGGGCGCGGCGCGGGAGGGGCGCAGCGGCGAGCCGGAGCGGCGGCGGCCGAGCGTCTCGGGGCTCGCTGTCGTCATAGGCGGCGGCCATTTTCGCGGGCGGAGGCGGCCCCGGCGGGCGCTAGGAGAGCGGGGGCGGGCGGCGGGCCTGAGGCGGTGGCCCGGCGGCCTCGGCCACCCGGTAATCGCATCTCTTCCCGGCGTCTCGTCTGCAGAGGGAGCACTATGTCTGCGGAAGTCCCCGAGGCAGCCTCTGCGGAGGAGCAGAAGGTGAGTGTGCGCGGGGAGCGGGCCTGCCCCGGGCCTGGCCTGTCCCAGCCGCGTGCGGAGGGGCGCGCCCGGAATCCAGCGCCTCGGCGCCCGATGTGGAGAGCTGTTTGTGCCCTTCTGGCAGGAAGAACACTCCAGAATGGGCTTCCCGCAGTAACTCTGGTGATCGGCGTCGACGTGTTGGGAGTTTGAACATTCCGCACGTCTTTCCTAACCGTGCCTTTTCTTTAATCTCTTAAATATACATGATCGCCCAGGACTCAGTGCTTAGGCGTGGAACCTAAGTTTTTCTATGAACTTCACTTTACTTAGGACGTTTTGGTTTTTTCTTTGAGGAACTCTCCAACTACTTGTAGGCATGCAGTTAACTGCAAAGGCAGCATCTCGCGTTTGAGTAGTGATGTGGACCGGGACTGGAATTTCAGATCCTACCCTTGTGAACCTTGTAACTCTGGCCAGTTAATAAACTCTGGAGGCTTCAATTTCTTCATCTGTGATAGCAGAATAGTAGTACCTGCTGCTTATGGGTGTTGTGAGGCCTAAACGAGGTGAGTAAAGGGAGAGTGTTTGGCGCAGTGTGTGCTCAAAAAGATGAGCCGATGGGATTCGCATATGATACTTGACTAAAAATCGAAAGGTTGGAATTTAAATTTTTTTTCCTAACTTAGTTGATTAGGTTTTTCTTGGAAACATAGGAATATTTTGTAAACTTACTTGAAGCATCTTCCTGGTGTAGGGGAATATGCCAGGAATGTCAGTATGGTTCAAATTAAGAGTATAAAGGCCTTATATTTATCTAAGCTAGTGTTTGCCCCTACTGTCGTAATTATTTCTGCTACCCTGCCCTCCTGAGTATGTGGAGCTGACTGAGAAATGAGAAAGGTCGGTGGTATCTTGTTTCCTAAATTGTTTATGGAGAGTTACCAACAATTATTCTTAAAAATCAGATTTTGTTATCATAAATAGGATTTGGTCTAATGCTTGGACTTTGTAAGGGTTTCTGCTTAATGTTGTGCTTATGTTCCTAATCAGGCCGGAAATTGGATTAGTGTTCTAAACCCATTCCATATGCTCTTAACCATGTTCATTTCCTGAGTTGGGTAGTTCTGTTATGATGTTACTTGTAAAGTCACTGAAGAAAAACAAGAAAACAGCAATAGCATGAATGATAGGCCAAGTTACCACATTATTTGTGAATACTTACTGAAAACAATTGGATATTTTTCACATTTTGCAAAAAAATGGACTTTTGGGGCAAAAATTACATATAAAGATTACAATCTTAGTAGTATTAGTTATCATTTATTGTAAAATATTTGTTGTGGTGTTTATTATTGTTTGGGATTTAGGAACCCAGAAAAATAACAAGCCTATGATATCTGAAACACTGACAGCAAACTCAGCTTTGACTTCTGGTGCCCAAGAGTGTGCTATGTGATTTTCTTTGGTAAGATGTGTTAGTTGCTAAAGTATACATGGTGATTCTAGAGTGTAAATTCTTTTATTTGGAACAGCTTAAGATGTCTCTTAACAATACTGAGGATCATTCGAATATTTTATCTTAATGAGTGTCCTTTGGTTTTGACTCCTGTCGTTAATACCAACCAACATGTGTTAAGAATATAATGTTCTTCTTGAATTGAGGATTGGCTGTAGATGTTAAGTGCCTGTGGCATGGATACTGTCCCTAAACATGAGAAAAAATGTGCAAAGTCACTTCTGGGTTCCTGTGGGCCAAGTCACCTGTTTCTTCTATTTGGAAAGGACAGTTAGATGACCTTAAAAAATTGGGTTATTATTTGCATTCAGTTGACCTTTCAATTAAAGCCAGAGTATTCAGCTAAAAATACCTTTATAATTTAATGGTAGGTTGCCTATTGTCTCTGAAAAATTAAGGTAAAAGGTTTGGCCCTGCATGGAATAAGAGCTAAGTCACTATTTCTCTACCTTGAGTAGTGTGTGCACCTGTTCAGAGAAGAAAACTAGATTCAGTCATATTTTTATTGGGATATTATTAATAAATGTGTACAAACATAAAAATAAGTATAAACTCCTATCTCTTAACTTTTTACCACCCTAAAAGTAAGACAAATTAAATAAAAACAAAGCTGGTCTAATTTTTAAATTTTATTTATTGTTTTTAGAGACAGTGTCTTGCTTTGTTGCCCAAGGTGCACAATCATACATAGCTCACTGTAACTTCAAATTCCTGAGCTCAGGCGATTCTCCCACCTCTGTCTCAATAGCTCAGTCTCAGTCTCAGTAGCTAGGACTACATGTATTTGTCACACCTCGCTAATTAAAAAAAATTTTTTGTGGAGTCATGGGGGGAGGGCAGGGAAGGGAGGGTGGTCGTGTTATGTTGCCCAGACTGGTTTCAAACTCCTGGCCTCAAGTGATCCTTCTGCCTAGGCCTTCCAAAGTGCAGGGATTATAGGCATGAGCCACTGTGCCCAGACAGTGCCAGTCTAAATTAATTCAGTGTGACTGGTATTTTACTGAAACTAAATTTCCAGTGTATTGAGAATATGATAATGATTATTAAAGTGCTGGGACTTTGTGAGTCTGGCAAGTTAACACTCCCCTAGGCTATGTGATGACTCAGTTCTCCTTTTTTCTAAAAGTAAGGTGGGAGGTATTTTACTCTCCAGGGTCATAGATACATTTACATTTTAAATTCAGCTCCATTCTTTTTTTTTTAAATTTATTTTTTATTTTTTTATATACAAGATGGCGTCTTGCTCTTGCTCAGGTTGATCTCGAACTCCTGAGTTCAAGCAGTCCTCCCTCCTCAGCCTCCTAGAGTGCTAGGATTACAGGCGGGAGCCACCAAGCCCAGCCCATTATTTTCTCCTTATCCTGGACAGTTGGAAGTAGTCTGCTGAGTCTGTCAAAAAAAAGCTTAGACATGGAAGTCACATAGCACTACTTAAAGGTGAGATAGTGATTTAGATGCCCCAGAATATGCTTATATTTGTTTCTTAGATGAGTGCTGAAATGAAAACAAAACATTTAAAAGTTTTTAGTAGAGACCTCATGGATGTGTCAACATTAAGCTAAGAGAGCCATGTGCACTGGTTCTGGGGGTGAGAAGAGGCCTGTGGGAACTTCAGAATATTCTGATTTCATTGTGAGCACCTTAAGGTCAAGGACCCTGCTTTATATATCTTTTCTCCCACAGCACCTAGCTTAGTACTTAGTGTTATTCACAAAATGTTGGTTGAATGAATTTTCCTCAGAACCTTTCTGTTGAAATCATTGCTATTCCAAGTACTATTCAAACACAAATGGCAATGCTACTATAGTTAAAAAGAGAGGGATAGACCATGGTAAATAAGAACCTCACCTTAGATCCGCTTAAGAGATCTGAATGAAACTAGAGGGATGTGTATATATATTTTTTCATATATGTTGTAGCTTTAAAAGTTTTGTTTTAAAACATCTCAATTGATAGCATCAAACTAAGATGTCTTAGAAAGGGTAACTAGGCCAGATGCAGTGGCTTGCACCTGTAATCCTAATCCTTGGGAGTCCAAGGTGGGAGGATCACTTGAGGCCAGGAGTTCCAGACCAGCCTGAACAGGAATGAGACCCTGTCTCTACAAAAAATAGAGAAATTAGCCTGCCTGGTGGCTCGGGCCTGTAGTCCAGCTACTTGGGAGGCTGAGGCAGGAGGATCACCTGAGCCCAGGAGTTTGAGGTTGCAGTGAGCTGTGATGATACTATAACACCACTGCACTCTAGCCCAGGTGACAGAGTAAGACCCTGTCTCAAAAAAAAAAAAAAAAAGATAAGTAAAACTCTCAGCTAAAATATTTGTTGTTGGTTAAAACTGTGGTCCTCACCCCCCACCCCCAATCCCACCCCCGAGCAGACTGGACTGATCTGTGTTCTGTTAGAAACCTGGTCACACAGCAGGAGGTGAATGGAGAGCTGGGGAAGCTTCATCTGTATTCACAGCTGCTCCACATAGCTCTTACCACTGCCTGAGCTCTGCCTCCTGTCAGATCAGTGGCAGTGGCATTAGATTCTGCATTATTGTGAGTTGTGTAATTATTTCATTATATATTGACAATAATAAAGTGTACAATAAGTGTACTGTGCTTGAATCCTCCCGAAACCACCCCCTCCATGGAAAAATTGTTTTCCATTGAAACCAGTCCCTCATGCCAAAAAAGTTGGGGACCACTCGGTTAAAAGATACACTTGGTACCTTTGTGAGTGGTGGAAGAGGAAAATAATTGTTTCTGTTTATCACCAGTAAAGAGTGGATATAAATTGCTTTCCCATTTTTTTCAGTATTATTAAAACAGCACTTAATATCGGTATTTTCTGGGGCTGTTTTGACACTACCTTTGGTCACTAAAAGGTTCAAGAGTGTTTTCTTTTTCTATTTAGAGTGAGCACAACTTGCTGTTTTGGTTTATGTACAACCATTGATTCTTAACAGTCTAGAGATAAACCTCAGAGAAGTTTTTAAATGTTTCTCTTGGCTATCTTAGCAGTTTGCTGTACAACAGTTGTTCTATCGTTTGTGCAAGACTTTAATACTTTACCAACTTCTATTCCTGAACCTGTGTCTCCCATAACATGAAATATTAAATATTTCAAAGATAAGCTGATGTTGAAACTATCAAGTGTGTAGAAAGTTTCTTAGCTTTGTGGAAACAATCAAAGTACATTGTATTTGTTCTTTCAGTAGATTTTTATTGAACACTCATTAAATGCCAGGCACTGGACAAGCAGCAAGGACTTAAGACGACAACAGTAATTTTCCATAGAGATTGATATAGTATTGCTACCTTCCTGGCAATATCCCAAAGGATTTGTTGGCTTTCATTAATCCTTTCTCTTTATTCATCAGTTAGTGCATCAGTGAACATATTGCTGAGCAGATAGAGAATTTGCTTAGAGTGGTCAGATTTTTATTGCTGATCTTGCTTTGTAACTCTGCTGAAGGCTGAAAAGTGGTTTCAGTCATTCAGACATAATTATTATCA